TTAATAACAAAATCGACTTTTTATTTTCAGGTTGTATCATGAGCAAGACATGCAGAAGATCTATTTCTTTTGATCTTGTTGTGTAATACGATGTTTGAAGCACGACAGATCTCTTGCGTCGTTGCTCCTCCTTCTGTTCTTAGGTTTCAACTTCAATGAGGCTTTTATTTTCATAGAAGGTTCGTTGAGTTAAACTGGTAGGCTATCATTTCCTTCCTAATTTATCTAAGTTGTTTGTGATTGATTTATAAAATATAGGAAAAGAATTTGAACGATGGTTTGGGTGCTAGGTTTGTTTGAAATCAAATAGTCTGTGTAGAACAGGAGCAGTTGTACTTTTCCATCGCCCTGTCTACTTTTTTGTTGTTTGTTTGCTGTACTTTTTTGTTCTTTGGTTAGCTATTGAAATAATAAAATAAGATCACCATTTCCTTTTTTCAAGTACAATATTTCCGCTCAGGTTTTATTTTGTCATGTCTAATGTTCTCCACAACCATATTTTTCTTCATCAATCTCGATTCTTATGGTCGAGCTCACCGATGAAATTTTTATATTATTTTAGGATTAGTTAGACACTGTTGATTTTGTCGATGTTTTTAGTGTCCGTCAATATAACTGCAAGTCATAATGATTGCTAAAGTTAAGCCTCCACGCAACAATACTTTGGGAGGTGTGGGTGTAAATTTGGAGTAGACGAGTTGGGATTAGGTTTAGTAAGAGGAATAGTGGGGGAAGAAATTATGTTTGGATTTATTAGCAAGTAAAGTTCAACTATATCATGTGAAGGCAGAGAAGAGGGAGTTGGCAAGAGTAGTGATCGAATTGAGGAGGGTATTGAAAGACATGGAAGCAAAATTGGAGTAGTTGAAGAGAGAGAAGTGAGGGATGATGAGGATATTAATGAAAATGGAGTGGGTGTTGATGGGCATGGAAGTGAACTGGAGCAGGTGAAGGCAGTCAAAGAGGATATGAGCATATTGATGGAATTGGAGATGAGTGTTTGTTTTACCAATCTTATTACAACTGCCCCTAAGGAAAATGAGTTGGCCAAATACAAGAAAAGGACTGAGAAGTTGAAGAGCAAGTTGACAAGAACCCTAATTGGAAGGGAAATGGAGGGCCACATAGAGAAGGTCCAACAAAGTAGCAGAAATATAATTGCAGGAGAAGGATTAGAAAGTGAATGTTGGGTTGAAACAAATGCCTCTTGAGATTGGAGATAGAAGGGATAAAAAGTTGTTTGTACAACAGATAGTAGTGGCTATTGGTCTTTAGGTTTATGTTTGTTGGAGCTACCACAATCTATGTCTATCTCAAAACGAGGAATTATTGATTGATTTATTAAAACTAAGGTCGATTCTCTATTAAAACTAAGGAGTGTGTAATTTTGTGTCATATTACTTTGATCGAATCTATAATATATTGGAGGTGTTGGGGGTGTTACAAAGAGAGGCCCAAATGAAAGCCCAATACGGCCCAATAAGGAAGAAAAGGGTTACTTCATTGGGCAGGCCCACGGGTTGGCCCACGAGGCAAAGCCCGAGTGTGAAGAGGGAAGCTAGGAGACAAAACTCGGAAGACTACACGGAAGTACAGTCTGGGCGCCTTGCATTTTTCAGAAGACTGACATGATGGTCGGGGCGCCTAGTCTAATAGAAGTACAGTATATTAAATGCGATGCTGACATGGAGCTGGGTTGAGGGAGTCTGGTCCAGGATAGGGTGAGTATAAATTGGGTCGGTAGGTAGCATTTATGCAGGTCTCTCTCATTATAAAGTTAGAGTTAGACACTTCTTTCTCTAAAACTCGTACTAACTTGATCGTCGAAGGACTAGCGGGCCCAGGCACCCCCCTCTATGTGCATTTGTTCAGGCACAAACAGGAGGTACCTCTAATTTTTTCATTTGCGCTCAACTTTTGATGGTCACCTTTTAGTTGAGTTGTTAGTATATGGTTGACTTGAATCAACAACTCTCAATCTCTTTATAATTAGTGGCATGTTGTTCCTAAAAGTATAGCATTGAACCTTTTATGTAGGATTATGCGATTTTAGTTTTAGTTTCCAATTATCTATGGGTTGTGTCGGAATTTCAGTGGGGTTTTATACTCAATTTCTCCTGACGATCAATTAATCAATAGCATTTTAATGGAGACTTAATTATCATCATGAAATGGGATTAAGTATCTTAACATATATTATGACGGTTTTGAGAAAACAATCTGCCACATCAGCCTTTTCTAATGTTCTGTTAATTCACAGCATTTGTACTCATTTCCCTGTTTTATTGGACCAAATTTCCTTTTGCTTCTTTTATTGGGCTACGCAGAAATATAGCTCAAATATGGACCAAGTTTAAGTTAGACCGTGATTATTATTTACCAACTGTGTTGGATTTATATATTAGGTTTTTTAGTTTTTAACCTTTTCAATTTCAGCCCAAATTGCCTTTTGTGATTAATGGATCGTTTATTATGCCCATGTAAACTCTATTGAAAAGTTAGTGGTATGATATTTTATAATAAAATTGTGATTCAACTATTTTATACGCTAAATACCGTCTATCGGTTTAGACTCCAGTAGGACGTTTTCTAATCGAACCGTCGGTACGGAATGGTTTTTTAATCCTTAAAAATTTCTCGAAATATATATTGAAAATAGATTTCATTTTGTAGATACAACCAACTCATTCCATCTATGCAAAAAAAATTAAAATCCAAGTTACAACAAGATAAAAGCCAATTAAAAAGTTTGAAAAATAAAAAGCCCTTTAATCTCACCCATTAGATCTGGACACACTTAAAATCAAAGGTCCATATCTGATTATGCAAGGGCTATGCACCCCATCTTGAATCGTTGGTTTCTTTTCACGCATTGATAGTTTCCAAACTTGGTGATTTGTGTTGTTTCATAACCCCCCACTTACCATTTATGGAAGATAATTAATTGTTTTCCAGTTGAGTTTAACGGGTTATATCTCTTTCGTTTTAAGTCGTAATTGATATTTTCAAAGAAAATTTATATCAATTGTGACCTTCAAAATGACATTCACTTTGATATATTTTAGAACAAAAGGTTGAGACATTTATTGCCCATCCATACATGTGGATAGGTGGTAATGCTTGGTAGTTTATGAGATTATACCATGTGCTATGGAAATGTACCATGTCTGTATAAATATATCAGATTATAAAATGATTATATACATGATAGTAAGTATATACTAATGACCATTTATCACTTTTCATCACCGTCTACCACCGGTAACTACCCTAAAGTAGGATGGAAAATGGTGGTATATTTGGTCTTGAAATTTTATACCCCGGAAATTCGTAGATCCAATAGATCACGATTAACCCGTTCCTTAGGGGTAATTTTTTTTCCAAAATTCGAGTTAAAAACGAAGGTGGTACTAGGGTGGTAAGGAGTAGTATGGGTGGTACGAAAAATATTTATCGAAATAAATGGATATTATTTATTTTATAGGAACATGTATGAAATAAATGGATATCATTTTGTAGATCACAACCTACCTGTTCCACTTGTAAAAAAGTGTTGAAATCCCAGTTAAAACAAGGAAAATAAAAGCCAATTAAAAATGTGGAAAATAAAAAACCCTTTCATTTCACTCTTAGATCTGGACAAATCTAAAATCAAAAGCTCATATCTGATTTTGCGACTGTTGTGCACCCTATGGTTATGCACTCTATCTTTGAAAATTAGTTTCTTTTCACGCACTGATAGTTTCTAAATTTGGTGATTTGTGTTGTTGCTTAATCCCACTTACCATTTATGGAAGACAATTTTTTTTCAATTAATGTAATGGGCTATATCACTTTCGCTTTAAGTCATAATTGATTTTTTCCATAGTCTAATCAGATTGATTGTGCTCTTCAAATTGACATCCACTTTGATATATTTTGGGAAAAAGTTGAGACATTTATTACCTATCCAAACCATGTGCTAATGCCTGGTAGTACATAAGATTATACCATGTGGTATGAAAGTGTATCATGGTGGTATGAATGTACAAAAGTGTAATCCGATTGTATATAGTGGTATATTTGGTCCTGAAATTTTGTTCCTCATAAATTTATAGATCCAATAGGTCATAAATTTATGGGTACATCTTTTTAAAATTTGACTAAAAATGACGGTGATACTAGGGTGGTAATGAGTAGAATGTGTGGTAAGAAAAAAAAATCTCGAAATATAAATTGATATGTATATCACAAACAACCCGTTCCATATACGCAAAATTTTATGAAATTCAAGTTAAAACAAGGAAGATAACATCCAAATAGAAAGTAAGGAAAATAAAAAGCCCTTCAATCTCACCTCTTAGATCTGGACACACTTAAAATTAAAGGTTCATATCTGATTATGTAAGGGTTATGCACTCTATCTTGAATCGTTGGTTTCTTTTCACGCATTGATAATTTCTAAATTTGGTGATTTGTGTTGCATATCTTTTTGTGGTTTTAGTCTAACAAATCATTAGGACAATACTCAAAAGAAAAATGTATATTCGAGTCTCTCTAAGTAATTTGTAAGTGTTTTGTTTGTTATTTAGTTGGTTTGAACTATTGCCTTTACTTGAAAATGAGCAAACAAAGAGCACTATTATTATGCTAATAGGTAATAGCATTGGTGCTTTAATGTATAATTTGAAGTTGTACCATAACATTAAATGTATAAGTTTATGTTGTATCATAAAGGAATTTGTACCATTATATTATGATACAAAGATACAAGTTCAAGTTGTACCATAAAAGAATTTGTACAAAATGTATAGTTACAATCTGAAGTTGTACCATAAAAACAAAAAAGTTTACCGATGATGTAGTTTCTCACTCTTTGAAATTTAGAATTAAAATTAAAATATTTCAAATAAGGAAAAGGCATTGCACTATGATTGATTGTTCGATAATGAAAACGTACATGCTTTTTTAAAACAAAATAATTAATGAAACTATTAAACGGACATTAGGCCAGGCATAGATACTAGTACATTTTTATATTTTATATACTTAAATGATGATGATATTTCTTCAAATTTTCAATTTATACATTCATTCTTTATGTATCATCTCGATCGAATGATTGTCAATAAAATTAAAAGGATTGATAAAATTGAACATAACATAAAAATATAAATACTCAAATACAAACATTCCGATCAACAGGCCGGGTTATAAGCTAGCTTTTATGAACAGTATAGATCAGTTATTGTTGTCTCCTGGACAGATGCAGTTCTCGGAATCTCGTATCCTCCTTTGTGGAACTGATCGCCTTCGTCGGTGTGCTCTCGTTCGTACTGCAACACTACTTGATGTTGAGAAACAGCCTATAAATGTGTGCTCAGTTTACAAATTTTAGAGAAAGGAACACACAGAGCATTCAAGAAAATCAAGGTACTTATAGTGTACGGCAGTAAGAAACATCATTACCTGCAGCACAAAGGGAGTCGAGCAAGCATCAGTTCCAGAATCGTCAGCGATATTGGAGCTTCGAGCAGCTTCTCCCGACAACATCTTCAAATGCATTAGGACGGAACTGTTTATTAAGTAGAGAACTTCATTACATCCGTAAGCTTGGGGCAAACGATGAACAACTACAGCTTACAGTTGGCAAAAACCTTCCGGACTCACTGTCAAAATCCTTAATGTAAGCTAAAACCGGGAGTACTTAAGAAGAAATAATATTAAGACACTTGTCTTTCTCAACATGGATACTCAGACCCCTCAACCAGAAGAGTGGTGAAAGCACTACCGTTTTCATTGGAAGCGGAATTCTCATTTGAGACCACTGACTTGCTCTTAAGCACATGATAAACGTTTTCACCTAACCCAATTTGCAATTTCTAACCCCTACATTGGGGTTTCAGAAAGAGGATACTGCGGCACTTGAATTCTCTTCTTGGTTGGGAAAGAAGGCTTTTCGGTTGCAGGACCAGAAACCTCTTGCTTCTTTCCGGTACTTCTCTTTGGCCCTTCCTCTTTGCTAAGGCTTCGATTCCCAACATTTTCCTCACCAACACCATTGAGTATCTTCCCTGCCACTTCTTGTGTCGTCGCCGAATTGCTTTACTTCTTGATATGAATGACAGTTGGTGAATATCGGGAAACATCTCTGAAACATATCTAAGCCTTGACCTAGTCCAAAAATTCATCCTGTCAAGTCTTCATACATTTATCTTCGCAATTAGAGCATCACCATGCCATCAGCCAAATCAATATGGAAAAACTCTATAAATAGGGCAATTAGTGAATAACCCAGCAGGTTTTGCGTTGGCAGATAGGGAGTAGCCTTGAAAAACAAGCATGAATCACCAACTACCAGTAGTCTCCACAAGAACAAGAACCATCCCGGAAATGATGGAACCGGCTGCAATCCCGAACAGTAATCTCCCTACCATAGACCTTCGACATGAGCTTGATCACCACATGACAATCACCACAAATCCTCAAGTTGTTGAACACCCTTATGGGGGTACCAGGGGGAGAACACACGAGCATTAAAGCAACAGCAATCTTCTCGCTGTGATGCACCAGTGCATTCTCCTTCTCTTCCTCTTCAATATCTGCATAAACATGACCTGTGTGTGCCACGTGCCCTTCTAATCGAAGCCTCTTCGTGACCTCCACCAACTTCGCATAGATTTCCTCACTTTGTGGATGGGTTCTATCTCCAGTGTGAAATTCATGAACCTGGTTCCCCAGCTCCACAAGACTATGCCCTCGGATTTTAGCAACTCCTTCTTCAAGCATAGACTTTCTGGCCTTGTGTGCATCGGACCACCGTCGCTCCGACGCATAGAGATTAGACATGAGCACATAGTCCCCACTGTGTTTTGGCTCTAAATGTAAGAGCTTGGCTCTCGCAACCTCCGCCAATTCCACATGGCCAAACTTTGTGCAGGCTCCTAATAAGGTCCTCCAGATGACAGAATTTGGCTGCATTGGCATTTGCTGGATGTAATCATGAGCTTGCTTAACCTTGCCAGCTCTGGCCAGAAGATCAACCATACAACCATGGTGTTCGATTTGAGGCACAATGCCATAATACTGTTTTATTTTGTCAAAGTATCGAAACCCCTCGTCGACCATGCCACAGTGGCTGCAAGCATAGAGCACACCAACGAAAGTTATCTCACTAGGCAACCATTTTTCGGCCTCCATCTGCTTGAAATACTTCAAAGCTTCACTACCATACCCATTAACGGCTAACCCCACAATCAGAGAAGTCCAAGACACCACATTTCTCTCTACCATCTCGTTGAAGACCCTTTTAGCATCTTTAGTGCAGCCACATTTGGCGTAAAAATCCAAGAGGGCGTTAACAGAGTGTAGATTCTTGTCCAGACCGACTTTAACCATGTAGACATGAGCCCTCCTGCCCAATGCCAGGGCGCCAAGCTTAGAACATGCAGAGAACAAACTGACCATAGTGAAACCATCAGGCTTCAAACCATCCAAATCCATCTTCTGGTAAAGGGCCAGTGCCTCACTGGGTTTTCCATTGAGGGCAAATCCATTGATCACCGAGTTCCAAGTCACCAAATCTCTATTAGGCATTACCTCAAACACCTTGACCGCACTCTGGTACTGCCCACACGAGGCATACATATGGACTAGACTGTTCTGAACAAACACCAGCGACTCAAACCCACGTCTGGTTGCAATCGAGTGTATCTGTTCACCTGCTGTGATGCTAACGGCTTTAGCCACAGCCTTCAAAACAAATGGGAAAGTATGTGTGTCGGGCTCTACCGAATTCGAGTGCATTAGGCCATACAACTCAATGGCCGGCTTTGGGTTTTCGCTCTCAGCATAGCCTCTAATTATCGCATTCCACGTGAAAGTATTTGGGTTCTTCATCTGTGAGAAGATACTGCGGGCATAGGCCATGGGAACAGAGAGATTTACCCCGATGTATATGAGGTATTTTCCCAGGTATGGGTCTGATAATGGAACGCCATGCCTGATGGAGAGACCGTGGATTTTCTTCAGATTGAGCTTGGAAGAGCCACATATTTGCAGTAGGGAAATGCAGCTTCTCACAATGTGAGCCAGGGGGTCTCGCCAAGAAGATGAATTCAGGGGTAATCGGAGAGCCCTGACAGGAGCAAGCTCGAAGTAGTGCTCAGACATATCGCGACAGGATACAATTCGAAGGCGTTTTAACTAACCTGACCTGGGAAATAATGGGGATTGAAAAAATCAGCAAAATGATCAATGTCAGCAGGAGAGTATTAAAGATTGAAGCATGGCAAGCAAAATAATGCAGAATGTTCAATCCAAGTGATTCAATTGCGCTCTTCAATTCTGCCTTCAATAGGACGAAATAACCAGAAGAACCAGTTACTCATCACCCACAACCCTAAGAGGAGCCATTAAAATAGACAAAAATATGCAAACTGCCTACTGGTGACACTAAATTGGATACACTCCAGCCGTACTCGCTTGCTGCCACCGATATCCAAATGCAATTTCATTCCTAACTTCATATTACCGATTACTAAAAACATAGGAAGGTCAATCCAAAGATATCAGCAAGAACGGAAATCCTTCTGAGATAGAGAATTACTTGATAGCGATGTAAGCGAGGAGTTCATCGGAGCCGAAGCGCTCCCAAACCGAGAGAAACCAACCCGCCGCAGCTCCGATCAACAACTTGCACGCAGAGCGTCTCCAGGTCACAAACTCGCTCCCTGAAATAGTAATGGTCGGGGCAAACCTTCCGCGGCGAGGAGCAAACCTGCTGAGCAATATTCTCTCCAGGCAATGGACGGGCCTGAGATGAGTCATGATGACAGTGAGAAGCCGATTGCCGGTTCTGTTCCTGCCTGGCTGGTCTTTCTTCTCTCGCGTTTCGTGGCGGGCAACTGTCGTTTTTAGGGTTACTTATGAGTTATGACGTGCGCCATTTTGGATGTCATTTGCGGATGAACCATTTAAAGTGTAGAATGGGCTTCAACGTTTGGCCCAATCCAATAAGGAAGGAATGGCCCAATATCGGCACTGAATCATACGCCAGGTCAACAGTAAAAATTGTAGCATTTCCATTTGAAGTAGGGATGGGCGGATGGCAACAAAATCCGAACCCACGGGTATTCATTCGACCCAATCCGGTCAACGCGGGTAAAATTCGTGTTGACGGGTTTTAGGCCTGGTTTGGGTTTAAACCCGTTCACTATTCACCGGGTTGGGTTTGGGTTTAGGTAAATCCACCCCATGGGTACCCGCCCACACCCATATAATTAATTTCCTCGGTATATTTAATATTCTAAACAACTAATCTTATTTATGTTTGTGGAGACATGTCTAATTTTTTCTTTCTAATTGTGTAGAATGAAGTTGATGTTATTGAGTGGAGAGTGAAAAAACTTAATTGACAAAGAGGAAAGCTTTCAATTAATTATGTTATTTATGGATAATTTGTGATTCGCTTCAATTTTCTTGTGTTTTCTAGATTGGTGTTCAACAATTTGTATAGTTAATTTTTGATTTGCTTGAATTTTCTAGAAAGGTGTTTTATATATGGATAATTTGTAGTGAGAGATTGATATTTGATTTTAATTTTAATAGGAACTTGTTATTGTAAATTTTTTACGACAAAAACTCGTGGGTACCCATGAACCCGCGGATATCCAGCGGGTTGGGTTGGGTTTGAGTTTTTCAAACCCAGTGGGTTTTACCCTGAGTTTTTTTTACGAATAAACCCATGGGTTTGGATTTGGCAAAACCCGACCCATTGACATCCCTAATTTGAAGGCAATTGCGGCGGGTAGGGATTTGATAAATTTACACCTTCCATGTAGACCTGGCAATCGGGTCGGGTTGGGACTTCGGTTACAGGTCGGGTTATGTTTGGTTGGCTGATTTTGGGTCAAATATTGACCTAACCCATTCGGTTTCGGGTCGGGTTACAGGTCATTTCGGGTTACGAGCGTTCTTAGAAACAATATCAAACATGCTTCATATTTTCTTAAAGAACACAAATTTTCACATATGCATGACAATAGTTTACCTAACACATGTCAATTAACATATTCTCAAATCCTCCCACGCTAATGAAATGAAATACAAATTGCGCAAATCGTCAAAAAACAATCACATGAGTAATACTACTACAAGAAACACATGATATTTGATTATCCTTAAACTCCAAACATGTCATTCAAATCCTTGTGATTTTTTAAACTTCTCACCAATTTATGAGTGATTTTATCATATTTTGGGAGTGATATATAAAATGGAACGGGTGTAACGGGTTGACCCGCTAACCCATCCAACCCGACCCAAAAAATCACGGGTTATCGAGTTCGGATCATTCAGATTTCGGGTTACAAAAATTTCTAGTTTTTGGGCGGTTTCGGGTCGAATCAACGGATCGGGTTGTAATTTGCCAGATCTACTTCCATGCGTTTAAGACTTCTACATAATTCTATGTTATTAGAGATTTTTATAATTCAATATTTTACAATTTGTGGGTAAACTCAAAAACCAACGGTGCATTCATTCACCGCCGTCCATAGCGATTCACATATCAAGTATCAACTTGTTAATAGGGGTGTTCAAATGGTTACCATGGTTATAACCAAACCAAATAAGGCTAAATTCCATTAACCATGGAATACAATATCATAACCAAACCGTCCAAACTAATACAACAACCAAATTAACCAAACTAAAGTTTAATTGGTTTGGTTTATTGGTTAACCAAATTAACCAATATAAAATCACATTATCATTGACGATAAAAAATTTCCGGTTAATGCAACAATTCGCAATTTATATAATGAATAAAACATAACAATCAACACGTAGTTATAGTTGACCCTTAACAAAAATACATGCAACTAAGACAATTATCTTACGATTAGTATAGAAGTATTCACCTAACAAAAATTTATAACAATGGTATGGGTTAATGAATTGTTGTGTTTGTGTAAATTGACTTAGTCTCTTAGCAATTATCATATGCTGGAAATGACCTTCCCTTCAAGTTTTCATCCATCATAATGTATGAAATTCATCTAAATTAGGCGTCCATATGTTGTGGTCTACATTTTACATATACAAATATACACTATATGAGCAATATTGAGCTTTATATTTTATGAGTCTAAAAGGGATGAACGTTAACTCTTGAGTGGTTATGCAAAGTATTAAGTATGTGTATATAATATATGTTAGATATATGACTAATTACTTAACTGGTTAATTTGGTTTGACTGGTTAGGAGTGTCTGAAACCAAACCAAACCACCTAAACCAAACAAGCTAAAAACTTTAACCAAACCAAACCAATTATCCAAATTAACCAAACCAAATTATCCAAATAGTACTGGTTAAAACAGTTACCATGGTAACCAAACCGTTTGAACATCCCTACTTGTTAATAAGCGACGGTATCAATTTTGATACTGAAATTCATCAAAGTCACTCATTGCTGAGATTCTCATATTTTGATTCCATTAATAAGATTCTATTAATTTAGTGAATCTACCATTGGATGGGGTGCGACTCAAGAGGAGCAGGCTCACTTACTAGGTGAAAATTTATCATTACTTCATTACTTGTAAAGAGCTAAGGAGTGTACTCAAGGGCCTCGAGCTAAGGAGTGAACGTTATTCTTTACGATTGTTGGAACTTTTAGGGATGAGGGTACACGTACGATAGTCCGAGATCGGATGACTAGGATTATAATAGAGTCGTGAACAACGTTTACTTTCCGTAAAGAATATTTCCACCCTCTACAAAGCCTTGAGCTACAGGAAATTTCTCCCGAGGATAAAACTATCACCACTTTAGGTTCTAGGCTCAAGAACTCTAAAGCATATTTAGAAATTTTTGGAAGAAAGAAGAAGAATATGTTTGATGGTATGTGGCACCATCCACCCCACACATATATTTATAGGGGGCGAATCCATGCATTGTTTCATGAACGGTTGCCTTAATCCATACGAAATGTTGCCTTTATCCATATGAAAGGTTATCCTTATCCATATGAAGGGTTGCCTCTATCCATAAGGTTGTTTTTATCCATAAGGCCATCCTTATCCATAAAATAATGCAACCGCCACTAGGCCAAAGGGATGTGTCCCTTCATGGAATTAGAATATCGGTTCGGTCGGTCTAATACCAAATCGGTTGGTCGGTCCAACTCAAAACCGATTTGACTTGGTTAGTCCGGTTCAACCAAATTTCCAACATTCCTCCCCCATTTTAGTGTATTATAGAATTCACTAAAATCCTCTGTTTTCGTAATCGGACCGGAGGCTGAACCGGAAAAGTTAGTGGTTTAGGGTTCACCGGTTAACTGTTACAAAACCGTTGGTGAACCGTTGATAGAACCGTTCATGATATATAACATATAAGACTTGTATATTACACTAATTTTAAAATAAAATTATCATTGACCATAAACAAGTTCAAATTCATATCATCACCAAAATATCTAATAAATCATTCCAACCATCTCACAAAAGAAACCTCTTTTTTTAATTCAAATTAAAAATTATGGTTCTAGTCGGTAGTAGACAACGTAAAGTCGACAATAAGGTTGATGAAGCATATATAAAATTAATAATTATGATTTGATGATCTTAGTTTATGTTAAAGCATTTTTTGTTAAAATAGTGAACTAGTGGACCAATTAAACCGTGTCGGTTCATCTGATTTTATGGTGACCGTGAAAAACCGTTTGGTCCATCAATAACCGTTCAAACAATGAACCGAACCGCTATTGTAACTGGTTTGATGGTTCTACTGGCCCGGCCGTTGATCCGGTTCGGTTCTTATAACAAGGCTAAAATCACAACATTCTTCCAACAAAACTTAAGCATAAATGAAAATGTCGTGACGATTGAATTTTCACCTTAGTATATTACACTTGACGAATACTCGAATACAAAGGGTGTCGGTAACGATTGAACCCATTGACTCATATGAATATTCGAAGATAATATACACTTAGGTTTTCAAACTTCCAAGTGTCTTGACACTATTAACCGCCATGTGTCCAATCCTTCTCATAAGCGCACACGAAACCAAAGTCCGGGTTTCTTGAAGCGGCTACACTTCATGCTTACGTAGGTCGAATCTTTTATTAGTGTACCCGCATAATACACTTTTTCAACGATTCAATTAAGAAGTTTTGAAATTCATCCTCTTCTCTCATGCATGATAACAAGCACATAGCTCGGGATGATAAATTGTGTGCTTCTATTTCTGATAATAAGCTTTCCGCATTGAATTCAGCCTCTAACGTTGTATTAGAGGGGAATTGAGTGTCTCATTACCAGAAATTATATGGACTTTTAACCCATCTCATTCACAGACTTGACCACCAAGTCACTAGTTAATCATTTCGTCAAATGATAAAACTAAATTATCTCGAGTCTGGTCATATTGTTTAGACACAACTCTATGAATGATCAGTTCACAGATTTTACCATGCCTACCCCACATTACCGTACTTGTCATTTTCACGTGGTTATATGCCTTAGCCAAATTAGCATTACTATCACTAAGAATAGTAATAGGTGAGATTGGTTTTGTCATAAACCAAGCATCTCAGCAATAATGTCTTTTCTCTAAGAGAAATCAAGGCTACAAACTTTGACTCCATGTGGAACTAGTGATGCAAGTTTGCTTTCTAGAGGCCCAAAATATGGCACCTCCCCCAAGCAAGAGGACCCATCTCAATGTTGAAGTATCACCTTTAACATGAGAAATCAAACTAACATCAACAAATCCTTCCAAAAATGGATGGAAAGCCACTATAACTCAATACAATGTGCCTTTGAGATATCTTAGTACACGCCTCACTTCATTTCAAATGATGAG